ACCGCCCACCCAACCAAAATTTTTGCAGGGATAGGAAGCGCCGGCTGCATAACCACTTCTTCGCTTTCGCACGATCCCGGAGCTTTTCTACTGCTAAAAATTGAGGTTACTGTAGGCTGCACGGAATTTCTGCTAAAAATGCCCTCCCCTCAATTTCGAGAACGTTGGAGCAGGTTTGATCGAGAAGTGATCAACCAAAACAGATGGAAAGACCCAATGTCATCATTGCAGCTCTTGTGAGTAGCCGTACTGATTGTGTGTTGTACGCGCTTGCAGACAGACTCCATAAGCGACGTCTGCAAATGAATGCAGCAGTCATTATCTACGATTTTTACATGAGATACCTTCAAGGACATGCTTAATTGCCCATTGTTAGTTCCGCCATTACAATATGTGTTCTTTTTTGTAGACAAGTAGACAAATGCATATGTATCTGTGGTTAATTGTTAACACAAGTGCTGACAATTACTGGGACAATTGCTGATATTTCTTTCAGAGATGGAACATCGCCCTTCAACTTCTTCCGGAAATTTCCGGGAGGAGATTTTACGCAAACTCGAAGCAAGAAATGCTAATTTCCGACCATGGGCTGCCATTTTCAAGAATTGTGTGTGGTAGTTCGTTTATTGTTTTCTCATTTTATGAAGAACTGGTGATACAGACTGACACAGATTTTTATTGCTCCTTTTCAGATAGTTCAATTTCTGATGAGTTGATCCGTGTACGAAGAAGATTCGATAATCGTGGCTCACTAGACGCGACGGAGTAAGCCTCCTTCCTTTATTCTTTTCTTTTGCTATAACTTCTAATGAAGCATTTAGAAAAGGATATGCTGCGTCCTTAGTATTAGCTGCACTCTTCCCTTTGGTTGTTCTAGCGGACTCGGAGGCACTGCATTCTATTACTTCGCGTGGGGTGGTTCGCTAGGACAGAAAGTGACTTTTTCGCTGCTATCCCCAGCCCCTCTCATGATCAAAGGCGGATCGGTGCTAAGTGGGTTGGGGGGACCACGCGGCGGCGCGGCGCTCTGTTCGTCTGCTCGCGCGAATCGCGCGACAGATCGCTGACTTTGACACCAGCCCTAGCGACCCACACTCAGTTAGTGCTTGCAAATCAGAGTCATACGAGTGTCATCACGTTCTAGAAGCCCATGTTATCATCACACAATGAACGCCTGGGTATGTAGCAAATGGACAGATCACGATGCTCTTGCATTTCGTCTTTCTTGTCACGGGCTGCTCTGTAGTAGTTCCTGTTACCACATACCCGACGACAAAGAAATTGCAGACCTGTTGCGCACGCACTTTCGCTACAGCCTAGAGATTTAAATTCGATCGTGCTGCTCTTTTCAGCTGATTTTTAGTTTGATTCTACAATTATCCTGACCCTTATTCGTTCGTGGGTTGCGACCGGGTGTGGATCGCTAGAACAGAACGCGACTTTTTCGCTATTCACAGCGCGAAACTTTTTCACTGCGTAAACCCCAGGTCCAACAGTGACCGGGTGGACCTGCTGTTTCCGCAGCGAAAAAAGATTCGTGCTGCGAAATGCGAAAAGTCGTCTTCTGTCCTAGTGCCGTACCATTTTCGATCCTTCACCGCCCTGTAGTTCGGTTTCACTTTAAGGAAGGAACGAATACTTATCGTTCACGTGACTCCGCTATTCTGCAGTAGTGCAATCTCAAACGGTGATTGCTGGCTTATTGTTATAGGCTAGTCGCGCATAGGTTTTTGATCTAGACATCTTGGTCACAGTGTTAGATAGTTAGAGGTCTGTGCCAGATAAGCCAGGTTTATGAGAGGAAGCAAGCATCCTGCTTGCAACGTATGCAAAGGACGGCAGCTAGATTTTCCGCACACAGTCTCATTTTGTATAAGTCGCTATCTTCAGTACCACTGTATCACAATCGTCATCACTAGAGCTGAAGCAGTTGCGTGAAGAGCTTGCCGAAGTTTACAAACAGAAAAGCCGCAACGACCAATCACTCATTGAGGCTAATCGGAAGCTAGATCAGCACGACGCTGCTCTCAACGCTGTTACAAAGGAGTGCGTAATTTTTCTTCATTTATTCAGAGTTTGTATGCGTTTATTCTCATAATTACTTCAATTTTAGCGCTTGGCATTTCATTATTTCTCGAGCTTTAGATTTGATCATTGCGAAGTCTCGGGAGAGTTTCCATCAAAGGTGGGGGGTCACAGCATTATGCGAGGAATTGCGCACGGGAGTATGTACTTATCTTCCCTACTGATCGGTGGCTCGAGACTTACAGATTGGATTGAAAAGGATAATTTTTGCGGACAACTAAGAAAACTATCACTTGCTCAAATCACCAAAACACGGCTGCCAGAACTATGGGCCATTTTTTTTCTTGGGGCGCCGTCACTGGGAATTTCCTCAACCTCCTCAAGCATGGCCAAAGCCACACTTTTTTTTTCAGCTAGAACCTCACAACAACAGCAGCAAGGGCGCGCACCACGCGCCCTTGCTGCTGTTGTTGTGGGGTTCCTAGCTGGACAAAGGAGTCCTCGGCCCCTGGGGCTGAGGAAGCGGAGGGGCCGTGTGCTATGCTCCCCTCAACAAGGGAGGGAGTCCCTCGTTCCGGTATGCTGATGCTCTCCCCGAGAGTTTTAGGGGAGAGGCCACGCCCACCGATAGCCGGGAACGTTTCAATCGCGATCGGGTGGGTCCAAGTCGATGGCTGGGGTGTGGTTAGCTAGAACAAAAAGCCACTTTTTGCGCTCTACAAGACAAAGCCATTCTTCGTTGCGGGAACTTCAGGTCCACTCATGATAACGGTGGAGCTGAGCTTCTCGCAGTGAAAAATGTTCCGCGCTACGAAACGCGCGAAAGTCGCTTTCGGGTCTAGCAAACCAAACCCGATGGCGGCTTTGCTTTCCGCAGTTGTCGCTAAACGCAACCCATATACCTCCGCTCTTAACTTAAAAACCCATGAAGCTTCGGGGTGCGGAGGTCTTACTGTGGAAAAGTGCACTCTAACGGGGAACGACCCGTAGACGGTTTGTGCCTAGAAAGGTCGCGGTGGCGTCGAACTATAATACATTGATGCATCGTGTTGGAGGGTTATAAAGAGAATCGCTCGCAAACCACTACACTGTTCGCTGGTTTGCAAAGTCTGACACTGGCTCAAGGCATTATTGTTTCATTATTGCATCCTAATCTACCGCTTTTAGATATTACCTTTGCTCTCCATATTCTGAATTACGAGGTTCTTCTCTCTCAGCTTATCACCTATGTGACTGGCCACCTCCCCCCCCCGTCCGCCCATTTAATGCACTTAGTTCCATGTGCCTCCATCGCTCCATCCTGGTGCTTGTTTGTGCCCACAAACTGTGGTTCCTGAAAGCTTCTCTACGTATGAAATTTTATGCAGCGAACTGTACGCTGCAACTGAATCATACATAACGCACAGATGCTGGGTAGAAAACGACAAGGTTCCGTGCTCGATTTTTTTAAGAGTGACTTGTTGAAGAGTTCGAGAAGAATAGAAGAAAATCACTTCAATATAGCTGAGTGATGTGCAATCGTTTTCAAGGCGAGACAAACTCATTCTTGAGAACAAAAAGCTCTATGCTCGTATCAGTGAGCTGGAATGTGCGCTCAAGAAAACAACTGATGACAAACAATCGCTGTATGACGAATGGATAGCGCTTTCGGTAAGAAGAATACTCAAAAATGACATCATGTTTGGTCACCATTTTTAATATTGTACTCCTATTTGAAGGCGCTGCTGGAAACGAAAACGAACGAGATGTTACAATTGCAGCAGGAAAGATTGGTATTAATCAATAAAATTCGCGATCTCAATGAACAACATGCTAATCTTTTCAATACGGAGGTGGACCTTCAACAAGAGTGAGTTCAGTATCAGAACACCTTCTTGTTTTTTGCAAGCGTTTCCATCAAAATGTTACAGGCGGCAACAGCGAAGGATACGCGAAGAAATAGCGCGGGCATGCGAGGACATTTCGAAGGATGATAAAGTGTTAGTTTTTAGCTCTCAGTATTTTTGGAAACACTAACGCCTGCACCCCACGGAGATCCAGCGATGCTAATCGAGCTGATGAAGTTTTAACTTTGGCCCATCCACCCTTGATACTCTGCTTATCATGGAACTGGTTCTTCCTCTCTCGCTATTTTCTATTTGCTTGTTTTTCTTATGGTTCCCGGAGTGTCTCGGAACTGATCTGTGTAT